CATTTAAGTAACTTAGGGTTCTGTTGATGTGAGACATGATTGCTCCTGGCAACACTGATCTATTCCCAAGAAAGTGTTGAGTATCCACTTGGAGTTTGTCTTCTTCTTGGAACAACTGGCCTTTGGGCAAGGAACTGCCCATGCATCGACCACTGACAAAGTGTATGATGTCTGGACGGGACAAGCAGGATACAAGATAAAAGACTGTCAAATCCTGCCAGTCCAGGGGAAGATGGTTTTAAAATTTTCCTGCCTCTGAAAATGGTCTGTCAGTTATTCTAGGCCTTAGCCAAAGTTGGTTGCTTCAATGATGCAAATGAGACTTTGGGTGATTGCCCAGGCAGCCAGTTGTCTCCATCATTGTTGCACATTGTGGAAGTTGCTTGATTGCACTTCCCGCTTACTCAAGTAATATTATCTCCCGTTTCGGGTCTTTGATGGGGTTGAAGACTTATAGTCGTAGATACTTTCCGCTCATGAGTTGGCCATTTTATTTATAATACAAGACTTAGGATAATTATTGAAACATTTATCACATGTTTCTTCCTTGATATAGTTTATGCTGGATGTAATTCTAATTTTTATACTTGATATTTGTTCTTATTGTATATAATTTTGTATTAGTCTTAGAACTCTTATTTAAATAAAAGGGGGTGGTGCTGTAGGAAATCTTCAGCCAGTAGCCTTTAAGTTATCAACCCACTTGGGCATGGCCTCTTATACTATAAATGCCGATGCAAAGTGCATGCTCACACTCTTTCTCTTCCGGCTGCTGGATTCAATTGCTGTTCCCAATATGAGCAGAGGACTGTGATCTGTGAGTCTACCCCTAAATAAATAACCCTTTATTATATTCAGTTCTGGATCCCTGAAACTGGAGCTATGAATGGTTAGGAATCACCATAGACTTCTGGGAATTGAACCCTGGTCTTCTACACAAGCAGCAGGTGCTTTAACCATGAGCCATCTTTTCAGACCCTAGTCATTTTGTTTTGATTTGACACAGGTCTTATAGCCCATCCTGGCCTAGTACTTACTCTGTAGCTCAAGCAGGATCTCAGAATCCACCCGAGCACTGGGTACAGGGTATAGGTCATCACGAATGGCTACGGAACAGGTCTCAATCTCTCAAGAGTTTCTGACATAACAAAACAAGAACCTACTACATCTTTGGACAGAATAAAACTGCGGTGATTTTATGATACTCGGGTACCTGATACCAGAAGTCCAATGGTTTCTTTTTAAAATAAAAATAATTTTAGAGTACCCCCAAAATCTACCAATATCTTTATTCCAAAGGATGAATTTCTGGAAGAAATGCTGTTTAAATTACGGCAGGTCTGCGGACTGTAGGAAGACTCAAACATGTCTCTAACATGTTTCCTGCGTGTGGTGACAAACACAGTTCCTAAATGAGTTCCTATTTCCACCTGATGCCACCGAGCAGCGTGTGCCCACAGCAGGCCAAGTAGTGATGCGAAAAGGAACCAGGAGAGGCTGCAACTGGAGAACTCACTTGGAAGCCAAGGGAAACACGCTGGTAACACTATTGAGTGTTGACGCAACTCGGTAGTTGACGACAGCTGATGCTCCCACGGCAGCCTCTCAAAAGAGGCAAGAAGGAGAACGGGGAAGAAATGGGTGACTCCGACTTTGCAACAGTCGTCCAGAGCTTTCTAATTGATTTCCTAATAGGATTTGTAGTAAATAAATTCTCTAAGTTCTTTGCAAAATGATTCAGGTTTTTTTGTTTGTCTGTTTGTTTGTTTTGTTTTTCTTTGTGTAGCCTTGGCTATAGAATTAGTTCTATGGACTTGGTTTTTAAAATGGGCTGCAGTGTGGCAGAGCATCCCTACTAAGCGCTGGATGCCCTGTGTAGAAGCCCCAGCCCCAGGAAACCATTCTTTATTATGCCAATGATGCATTTAGCCTCTAGGTTCCAGCGGGAGGAAGAGATTTGTTATTTTGTATGAACTGTTAACGTCCATTTCCCTTATCTACATAATAAAAAAAGTGGCTCAAACTAAGTTTGTTTTTAAATCACTTGTCTGGTATTACATTGGCTGCATATTTACCAAAGAAGGTAAGCAGAAAAGAATGGTAATCCACATGGAAATCGCATTATTATCCCCTGGCACCCTGCGGTCTTGAGTCTCCGCAGACCTGACAGTCATCTGACCTTCCTTCCTGTTTTGGCTTTCAGAAAGCCACGGGTCAGCCTCAGACACTGCTGAGAGCTCCAAGGGCTGAATTCATATGAACAAAAAAAGAAGATTGTGTCTACAAGCAGGAGTAAATTTAGCAGCCACTTCTATCTATCCTAAATAGCTCAGCTATCCTAAATAAAAACCCAGGACTTTCCTGGTTTGCCTTTTGTTTTTCTCTTACTGGGATGGGAAGAGCCAGGCTTCTTTTCTCTTCATGTTCGATTGTCCCTGATGGCCCTGGAAGGAACACAGCTCAGAGACGATAATGGCCCTTGAGACTGGCCAACCTGTGGAGGCAGAGTGGCCTACCTTATGGAAAGGACAAAAAGCCGCAGACACTTACTTGTTGGCTGGATCGAGACAGACAACTCTTGATGACCTCCGTTTCCAGAAGTGTGCGCTTATTAATCTCCACGTGCTCATAGTACTTAGACAGTCGGGTCTGCCCCTGTCTGTTCACCATAAGGAAGAACTTTATCATTTTCCCCCTTTGATCAGTTTCTTTCCAAATAGAAATTAAAAGTAACAGCAAGGGATGCGTGCGGCTACAGCCTGGAGAATGAGAGAACAACAGAAAGGCGAAAGGCAACATTACATTTCTCAAAGGCTCACCCTAAGCCGGGTGGTGGTGGCACACGCCTTTAATCCCAGCATTCGGGAGGCAGAGGCAGGCGGATCTCTGTGAGTTCAATGCCAGCCTGGTCAACAAGAGCTAGTTCCAGGACAGGCTCCAAAACCACAGGGAAACTCTGTCTCGAAAAACCAAAAAAAAAAAAAAAAAAAAAGCTCACCCTAAGCCTGTTCCACAGATGAGCCAGAGGAGACAAATACGTGGCAGAAGCAGGACGAAATGAGGTTTAAATAAACAGAACCATACACAATTCCCACCAGCTCCCACAAAACAACTCTGAGCACATGCAGCCCTTCCACTCAGACATGGCCAATTTGTTCATCATCAAGTTTGACAGGTACCGAGTTGAAGTACAATCTTATTTATTTATTTATTTATTTATTTATTTATTTATTATGTATACAATATCCTGTCTGCGTGTATGCCTGCAGGCCAGAAGAGGGCACCAGATCTCATTACAGATGGTTGTGAGCCACCATGTGGTTGCTGGGAATTGAACTCAGGACCTTTGGAAGAACAGGCAATGCTCTTAACCACTGAGCCATCTCTCCAGCCCCAATCTTTTTTTTTTTTTTGAGACAGGATTTCTCTGTAGTTTTGGAGCCTGTCCTGGAACTAGCTCTTGTTGACCAGGCTGGCATTGAATTCACAGAGATCCACCTGCCTCTGCCTCCCAAGTGCTGGGATTAAAGGTGTGTACCACCACCACCTGGCTTGCAGTGCAATCTTAATTAGTCTTTATAATAAAAATCTGGAGTCAGATATTGAGCGATCAGAGAAGCCCAGCAGTCATCCATTTTACGGCTACCGAACCCTCAGACCCAAGGGTGATCCTGTCTCTATGAATCCCAAGACTGATGGCTCTGACCTCCTGTCTCCTCCTGCCTTGTAGTCCTCTCTCCGCCCAGCCATATCACCCTTTCCTCCCCCTTCCTAGGGCTGGGATCAAAGGTGTGAGCTCTGTTACTCTTTTAGACCGGATCAATTTCGTGTAGCCCAATTTCTTGAACCCACAGAGATCTGTCTCCCGGAGTGCTGGGATTAAAGGCGTGCGCCACACCGCCCGGCTGAATAAATCTTTTTGAAAAAAGAATGGCCATAGGAAATCAAGCTGCTCACATGGAATAAGAGCTTTAGCAGTCAGTTAAGGAGCTGGGTGTAGTATGCACACTGTGCCCTGCACTCAGGAGCCGAGGCAGGAAAACTGCCACGTGTTTGAGGCCATCTGGGCTAAAGAGTGAGCAACTCTGTCCCAAAAAACAAAGGAGAAGTTATGCTAAGGAGCCTGAGCTTCATTATTGGCTGCAGGAAGATCTAAAGCAAATATTTCTTCTTTAGTGGTAGAATAAGCAATATCAGCTGTCGCCAAACTCTTCTAAAAGGCCCAACAGCAAACTGTGCTCTGAAACCTGGAAGTCATCGCCTCTCCCGAGACTTAGGACAGGGGCTTCTGTCATTCTCAGTTTAAAGCTCAGAAAAGTGACCACAGTCTGCACTATACTGGGTCTGAGGCCAAGTCTGCAAATTTTTTTTTTTTTTTAAAGAGTGGAACTAAGATTCTAAAATGAAGGCTGGAGAGACGGTCTGCCTTTAAGACAATTCGCAGAGGACCTGGTTTGGTTCCCAGCACACATGTGGCAGCTCATAACCATCTGTGACCCCAGCTCCAGGGGATCTGATGCCGCCTTCTTCTGGCCTCCGCATATGGCATTTCTACATACAGGCAAGGAAAACTCTCTCTCTCTCTTACACACACACACACACACACACACACACACACACACACACACACACACACAGAGACAGAGAGACAGAGAGAGAGCGCCTCTACAGTAAGCTAAGCTCTTTTGAAATAGGCAGTTTGCACAGGAGAATAGAACCCCGGCCAAGTTACAGAGGCTGAGGCATATCACCAGAGAGAAAGAGAGAGACAGAGAGAAAGAGAGAGACAGAGAGAGACAGAGAGAGAGAGAGAGAGAGAGAGAGAGAGAGAGGCGCGCGAGAGCGCCGAGGCACATAGTCACAGAGAGAGAGAGTGCTGAGGCACATAGTCACAGAGAAAGAGAGAGTGCTGAGGCACACCACCAGAGGGAGGGAGGGAGGGAGAGAGAGAGGGAGGGAGAGAGAGAGAGAGAGAGAGTGTTGAGGCACACCAGGGACAGACTACTTTGCTGTAGGTTGGGCAAAGAAGCTAAGTCAAGCTAGACACTAGTAAGAACTTACTGCTGGGGATTTTTATTCACTTAAGATTAAGAGAATGTGTTACCTAAAAGCTTGAATTTTTGAATAACAAAGCTGGCGAGTTATGGCTTTCCCACAGGCTTGCAGTGTTCCTCCAGTTGGCCTGACCTTCTGAACCCCAGCTGGACAGCTGCTTCTGGCTTAAGGACGTGAGATGAGATGACTCGCAATGGCACTTGATCTCCTACAACTGTTTCCTCTATGATTGGAGCCATAAATAACATTATGAAAGATAATTGCCTTTTTTTTTTTTTGAGACCAGGTTTCTCCCTAGGTGTTCTGGAGCTAGCTCGGTAGACCAGGCTGTCCCCGAATTCACTGAGTGTCCACTAGCCTCTGCTCCTGAGTGCTGGGATTAAAGGCGTGCGCCACCACTCCCAGGCATATATTTGTTTACACCTCAGTTCCCATTCCCCACAGGGCTGGGGACTGACCCCAGGGCCCCACACATGCTATGCGAGCAGCCGCATAGCTCTAACAGACACTCAGTACTGTTCTATAAAAGGCCAGGCGCGGTGTAGTAAGGCCTGGGGCTGCAGTGTTCAGTCAGCTTGCCGTCTAGACCAGCTCACCCAGGGATGTGACAGCTGGGCCGTGTGGGAGGCCTGTGGTCATTCACTCCCTTTTCCAGGGAGATAACCTCACTGCTGTGTGTGGAAGTGCCACACATTCTGTGGTGCTTAGTCACAGGTTACTTTTACTCTCGCCAGAGACCAGCCAGTAGCCAGGGTGTGGCAGGTATGCCTGTTATCCCAACGTTTGGGAGGTGGCGGCAGGAGGGGCAGGGGCTCCAGCTCATTCTCAGTGCTGTGAGTTCAACGTCAGCCTGGGACACATGAAATTTAGGTCAAAACACTAACAATACCAAGAAGTTATCATCCTTTCAGTAAAGTTATTTTACTTTATTTATTTTCGAGACAGGGTTTCTCTGTAGCTGGTCTTCAACTCACGGGGATCCACCTGCCTCTGCCTGGGATTAAAGGCATGCGCCACCACCACCCAGCAAATTATTTTGTTTTCTTTATGTGTGTATCTGCCAAGTGTGTTGGATCCCTGAAGCTGGAGTTACATGTGGTTGTGAGTCACCAAACATGGGTGCTGGGAACTGAACTCGGGTCCTTTGCAAGAGCAGCAAGCACTCTTAACTGCTGAGCTCTCTCTCCAGCCCAAGTTATTTTATTTTTATTCATGTAATAATGCATCTTTACTTTTATTTTCTATTTATTTATTTATTTATTTATTTATTTATTTATTTATTTATTTTTGATTTTTCGAGACAGGGTTTCTCCGTAGGTTTTTTTGGTTCCTGTCTTGGAACTAGCTCTGTAGACCAGGCTGGTCTCGAACTCACAGAGATCCGCCTGCCTCTGCCTCCGAGTGCTGGGATTAAAGGCGTGCGCCACCACCGCCCGGCTTTATTTTTAATATGTAATACGGCACGTGCCTTTAATCCCAGCACTTCAGAGGCTGAGGTAGGAGAGTCAGGAGTTCAAGGCCAGTCTGGGCTAAATGAAACCCTATCTCAAACAACAATGACTAATATGAACAAATGGAATTAATTGCAATTTATTTTTAAAGTAATAGAATTAGTGGATCATGACGAGGAACATACTTCCTTGAATAGGAATGAGCCAGAAAGCAAAGAAAAGGCAGCAGCTCAAAAGTCTATTGTGGTGTTTCATACGTGTACCTCAATGTGCTTGGCTCTTGGTTGGTACTGGCCCTCCTCCCACCATGCCAGTGTTCCAGCCTTTCCTACTGCTGCTGTGAGGACATGCGTATCCGAGTACCCTGTATTGTTCCCTCTTCATTCCCTTCTCGAGCCTCTCTCTCTCTCTCTCTCTCTCTCTCACACACACACACACACACACACACACACACAAAATCACCCCTAGGTTCTACACATGAGGAAATACTGCAATATTTGTTTTTCTAAGTCTCAGCAACATATTCTTTATAATTCTTTAAAATGATTTCTTTATTTGGCGTAGAATGGTGGCGCATACCTCTATTCCCAACACTTAGGAGGCAGATTTTGGAGTTCTGAGGCCAGCCTGGTCTACAAAGCGAGTTTCAGGACAGCCAGGGCTATATATAGAGAAACTCTGTCTGGAAAAAAAATTAAAAAAAAAAAAAAGACATGGCATATGTATGTGTATGCATGTGCATACACATATACAAATAACAAATTTAAATCAATTACAAATATACTTGTATTTCAATGGTCAGGCAAAAAAAAAAATAAAAACATTTCAACAGGATACCCATGGTTCAAATTTTGCCTTAAATGTCGTGGCTGCACTAAGTGGAAAGATGAGCTGGAAGAACTCCTGCTGAGTTGTTACATCAAGGGATCAAATTGCTTTCTGCCTTCCAGGACCAGCATTTTCCCTTATTGACTTTAAGAGAAAGGATGGCAAACAAGGACATTTGAATTGATACTCATCAGGATACAGGTTTTCAAAAGAACAGTCTACAGCACCCACATGCTCATACACAATCACCAGAGTCTGTAGGCGTGCACAGGGAAGCCAAGTGGAGCGCTCAAGTGTCACTGCTTTAAAGTCCACAATCGTCAGGATAAACAAGAGATTCTGTGGAGACTGAAGAGACGGGAACCTGCGTGCAGTAGGCACCTATCCCTGGTTAGTCATCAGGGAGGAGCAAGCTCAAACACTCACGAGACCGAGATAAGACAATCAAGAAGCCACACCTAGGCAAATGATGGAACAGGGATGAACTTCCTGTGTTCATGAACTCTGTGTTCAACAATGCAGGACTGCGGAGGGTGTTCTGACTTGGCAATGAGGTAGGAGGTTCCGCACACAAAGAAAGCGTGTGTAGAACAAGGAAGAATAGACAATGGAAATTCCACCAGGGAAAAACACCAGACAAAGCAAGCCAGGATGACCTAATAAGGAAGAGCTCAAGAGGAAGAGAAACAGAAAAATAATTTGTGTGAGTTGTACACCTCTGAAGGCCAGATGATGACAACTGGTCTCTTCCTAAATGGCTTTCTACCTTAGTATCTATATTATCTATCTATCTATCTATCTATCTATCTATCTATCTATCTATCTATCATTTAATCTGTTATTAGTGTGCAGACAGAGGTGTGTGTACCATAGTACATGTGAAAGCGGGTAGACAACTTTCAGAACATCCAATAGCTTTGGGAATGATTGGGAAATATTCTATTATTCTTATTAATATTCTACTTTTTTTTTTTTTTTCTGAGACAAGGTTCTCTGTGTTGTCCTGGAACTCACTCTGTAGATCAGGCTAGCCTCGAACTCTGACTTTTCCCGGACCTCAAACAATCCCTCTTGTAACACACAAACACAAATCCTTGACCAAAGTATTTCCTTCTATGCTGTCTAAAAGTTAATGGGAGACTCTACCACTACCACTTAAAAAAGCAAATTCCTGGCTGTCTATCTAGATGGTTCTGTGGGTCAATGGGCCTGCAGCCAAGCTTGACAACCTGAGTTTGATGCCTAGCTCACACACAGTGGAAGGACAGAGCAAACCCCACAGTTTGTCCTCTGGTCTTCCACCCAGGAAAGCCACCCGCCCCCAAGTATAATACACGCACAGGCAGACAAAGTAAGTAAGTAATAAATAAACATGTAATATTTGAAAAAGGGAAATTCTGGTTTTGGGATATAGCCTATTGGAGCTTGTATAACAGGCGTCGAAGCCTATGGTTCTAGCGCTGGGGAGGTAGAGACAGGTGCACCAGCTACATAGCAAGTTCAAAGCCACTGAGAGAAAACTTTCCTCCGCCTAGAAACTGAATACTAGTTAAGTACACAGTCAGTACAGAGTGGAAGCTGAGAGCTGGGGCTGGGGCTGGGCTGTTAGGACTCACGGTTACTGCTGACCAACTCTGTGCTTCTGGCACTGGGACTAACAGGTGTGCGTCCAACCCAGGTTGTTGGGAGGATTAAAGGAGTTGGCAGATGTGGTGTATTTTTAGTGTGTTGGGCAGAGGACCAGTAGCAAGGTCCGAAGTGCTGGCTAATCTCCGCAGGACATCACATTGCCTTTCCCCAGTTACCCACATGGCATGGACCACACGGCCAGCAACCCAGGTGATCGGTATGGGATTGCGAACTCCGTCAGCAGAGCTGGAATTCAGATGCTTTGTTTGGGACATGGTAGCTCAGACAGGCCTGGAGCACTCTACAGACCTGAGGATGACCTGATCCTCCTGCCTTTCCCTCTCAAACGGCTGGATTACAGGCATGTGGCCTAGCTGGTGGTTTTAGTTTTCAGTAGGACTGAGGACTGAACTCAGGGCCGTGCACGTGCCACGCCAGCGGTCTACTACTGAGCTACAGCCTTCCGTAGTTTTTTTGTTTGTTTGTTTTGGTTTGGTTTGGTTTTACAAGACGAGGTTTCTCTGTGGAGTCCTGGCTATGCTGGAACTCACTTTATAGACCAGGCTGGCCTCAAGCTCAGAGTTCTCTGCTTCTGCCTCCTGAGTGCTGGGATTAAAGGCCTGCATCGCCACCCCTGGTTTACATCCTTAATCTAATAATTACATTCTTAATCATGACTTTGAGAGATCTTTTTACATGTGATCTGGTAAGGTCACAGGTATATATGAACAGAAGGTCAGAACACAGCATTTACTCATACTGTGTGTACGTCCACGTCCACACATGCCATGGGGTGCATGTGGAAGTTAGAGGCCAATTAGAGGAAGTAGGTTCTGTTCTAACATGCGGGTTTTGAGATCAAACGAAGAATGTCAGGCTTGGTAGCAAGTGCCCTTGCCCACTGAATCTTTATCTCACTCACTGGCCTGCACTCTGGTTTTTCAAATGGCATTTTGTTCTAGAAAAAAATGCCAGGTGTGGTAGCTCAAACCTAGAATCTCAGGACACATAAGGAGGAGGATTGCTATGAGTTCTAGTCCAGCCTGATCTACAAGATACCCTGTCTCAAAAAAAAAAGAAAGAAAGAAAGAAAAGAGAATAAAAAGAAAAGGAGGAGGAGATGGAGGAAGAAGAGAAAAAGGAGGAGGAGATGAAGAAGATCAAGTGTAGTGGTGTTCGTAACCTAGTTAGCATGCAGACTTCTTTTAAGGCCTCACTGTTTAGCTGATGATGGCTCTGAACTGGAGATCCCCCTGCCTCAGACCTGTGCCTACTGCTGTATCACGGCATCCAGCTGTGCTGACTTGAAATTCCT